CGGTCAAGATTTCCCTATGTTATTTAGTATAACAACCGAAGCTTAAATGCCTGACTTTAAAACATATCATTGGATTCGAAGGAGTATTCTTCAGTTAATTTATGGTACTCTGTTCTGCCCAAAAGTATAAATTAATTAGTATTTCGAGTGTGTTTCGTAGTTACATAAACATATTAGTGACATTATAATAATATGTTAAAGAAATTAGAATCCAACGTAACATTTCTTAATACTCACATAAAAACGTTATATAAGTATTAAGAAATGTTACTCTAATTTTCGTGCTCAGAAAGGAAAATTTATTTAAAAAGACCCGTTTTTGTCCATACGGAAAGCAAACAAAGCTTTGTTGACTAGTGTTAATTAAGTGATAACATTTCTGCTGACGATAGTTAATTTGCAGGTGATTTTAAATTAATTAATTATATAGAGATATCTAAGAAAATTTCATGCTATTATACTTTTAAAATTCTTATTAAAAATTGACAACAATTTACGTTTTATTTAATTTAGGTATCCTATTTGTATTCATTTTTTAATAATATCGAAGTCAAAACTAAACTGTCACTATATTTTTAAAATTCGAATGACTAAAAGTTTTTTAAAAGTTCAATAGTTGCTGATTCCAGGGATATTTAAAGAATAAATCTAAACTATTGCATTTTATTAAAGAAATGTTGAAATCGAAACAAGACTTGTTATTAAAAAAGCATTAACCTTACCTTAGATGAAAGATACAAATTTATTTTTTGACTCATTTTTCTGTTTATGTTTTCGTACCTTTTGAAAAAAAATATATTTTATTAAAATATATGCATAACTCATTTCCCATTAATAGAGACGTAATAAGAGAAATCACTGATGTTATCAGACAAATACTGAAACAATTGTTTCAGACATATGACCAAAAAATAAAATCATATGCATAATACTTATATGCAAAACCTTTAAGAAACGAACTTCTTAATTCCTTGAAAATGATGATGTTCTTTTCGCTATAAAAATTTCCTGTTCTGTCAAAGCAAATTTCTGGTACGTCACGTGTGATATATATGTTTTTTCAGCTCTCGTGCCCAGTTGATACATTAAAAGATTCACAACTGGGTCTTAAGTAATGAGGTGTATGCTTTATGAAATAAACATAGATGTGGCACAAATTTATGATGCCCGTGGCACAAATTTATGATGCAATAACTTTAAAACAAGTTTTCTCACTACTCCCTACGTTTAGGATTGCTATTTTGAACAGCGCGTGTAAAATATATGACTTTATGTTCTTTGCCTTGAATTTCAAACGATTCATTCTTAAAATAGTAAGCTTGTCATAACTTCTACAGCTTAAAACATATATCATATGAAACAGGGTATGTCACACAAATTTGGTATCTAAGGCACCGGTTTTCAAATTTGGCATCTGTTTCAGGAGCCTGGAGGATTTTAAAGATCACAACTTTGATTTGAAACTTGGATGTGCCTTCAGGACATTGCTGAAAAGATAGTCACTAAATTTGCCCTTGTAAATCAACAAGAAATCCATTCAACCTTCAGGGAAGAAATAAGCTTCTGGAAGGAAAAAGATTCTTTTCCCTCACTGCACATGTTTTTGAATGAAAATTATTTTAAGTTCAAAGCAACCTCGAATTTACGGTCGATGAATATTTATGGCATGTCCTAGTCACTTTATCTGCTTTCTCTAGTCATGTTTAATTGAAGACTTCATCAACATTCTGCATAAAAAAATATTGATTCAGAACTTCTTGTGACCTACCTCTTTCTGCCTTTAATTTTAAACATGTCTGTTGTAGTAATGTTTAGATACATTGAACCGGATATTAAGACATTTAATTCTCTTTATGGCATCCTATTCATGTTAGGCAAGTTTTCCAAACTAAACGGGAGTTCAAAAAGAACATACAGAAAGGGATAGAAATGGCTATTTGCAAACTAGTGCCACCAATGAAGAAGGAAAAGTTTGCCCTTCTTCCGGTACTGATCTAATTTACAGGAATATGTAACAGAATGTAATTATACGCTGATAATATTTCTGCGAATATATTTTAATAGATTGCTTGATTGTCAACCCACAATATTTAAAAGATTAAAAAAAAATTTAAAACAATATTTGAATACATTCGAAAAAATCATTTAAAAAAACGTGAAATTGAAAAAAATTACTAAAAAATATGTGTGAAAAGTTTTACGTTTGTTAAACATATTAAGTTTACATAGAGGTTTCAAAAATCCCTGTTTTCTAAAAAGCTTTATTCTAAGGATAAAAAAATATTAATACAAAATTTTTAAATTATTAAATAAATTACGTATCATTCTATTTAACGTCTGGTAATCAAATCTAAAGAACCTGTAACCAGATACTAAGATTTGAATCAATCGTGTATGCTACTTAACAGCATTACGCTGGTGGTAGAACCTAACACAAGGAGCAGTAAATCAAAAAGGCTTCATGGCATGGGAGTTTCTAAATCACAAAGTAGTACTTAAAGGGGTTAAAAAGGTGGAATAAGCATTAGAAGAATAACGCGGCTTATATGATTAATAGCAAAACACAGTGGGGCTATGGGCTTACGGAAAGAACTTCTTTAGGGAACTTTATATCCTATTTAGTTTTCAATGTTTTAAAAAAAGAGGTAGTTTATTTACTGATTTAACGATTATTTGAGTTAACTGTTAACAACACGCTCGTCTAATGGAAATTCAGTTCTCTAAGCTTAAAAATACAAACAGAATATTCAGTCGTATTCCCATATCCGCAATACGCAGCAGGAGACGAAGCAGTTTATATTTCTAAATGCGCGCCAGAGTGACACCGGGCCATAATTTAGAAAAATATAATGCAGCTGCTTGAAATTCAGTACTATCGTCTTCCAACAGAAATCAGTACCGTAAGCACAGGCGTCCTTCTTTCCAAACTGTTGTATTTTAAATTTCTTTATTTTCACAGTCCTGCTCCTGCTTAAAATGTGCTTTCATCTTGTTTCCAGCGTTCTCTCTATTCTCGTTAACGTTCTTTTAACCATATTTCTTCTATTGCTGTGATGGAAAAACAATATATATATTTTTTATTTCTACTATTCTTTCAAATAGTATATTTGTAGGGTTTGATTTATTTTTACTAATGGTAATTTTAATTTGTTATCCTTTTCTGTCTTCTCTTTTTCCCCTCGCGTTTCTTCGCCAATTTGTAAATAAGCTATGGTGAATGAGTGTATTTAAAATGAAGTAGCGAAAGGTTTAGTGAGAGCGTGGTTTCACTGTTGTGAGAGCACATTGTCATTTGCCCCAGCTGTTTACTTTAAAATCGGCTTCGCATTCTTGCTGCTGAATTATTATCCTGCCGGTGTGGGTTTTGAGTCAACGTGTTAGATTAAACTGAATTGTGCAGTCTTGCACTATCCTTACCTTTAAATTTAATGTTACATTACCTTTTAAGGTTCTCACCGCAAGGGGTCGGTGGTTCTAAGCTATGTAAGTCCGTGCCGCCTGTAAAATATTGTGTTCAATAAAAGGGTCTTTTACACCCTTATCCTGTAGTATTCATCTTCCAGTCTTTGGGAGAAATCGGAAGATTAACATTTAAGAAGATCTAGTTACACTGAATGATAGCTAAGAGAACTAGATCCCACAATTCTATTGTATAATACTCGTACAATAATTGCATTTCTTCATTACACACTCATGATTAAGGAATTAGATAGTACAATGATTACATTTCTTCATTACACACTCATGATTGGCAAGTTAAATTAATACCTCAAAATCTGTAACTACACGCATATAAGACGGAATACAATATTATACAATAATATCTTACATTGCTTTATTTAGAAGTTTGGTTATGTAATCGATCTATTCAAAGTATAATTTATTAACTGTTGGTAATATCTTACTACGCATAAGTTATTAGTTTAACATGACCGTATTTGTGCATGTTGCGCGAATATATTATTTTATGCAGCATTCACGGACGCGTTGGCACATATTACTCGCAAAACACAAGGTTCAGAGATATGTAATAAATTTAATATTAAAAGGAAAGTCAGATGAATGCAATGGAACTTCCTCAAGATGTCAACCCACGGATGCAAACACTTTACATATCTGTAGAGATAATCACCTGTGATGCTCCACACCGGTGATTACTTACGTTCTCAGAAATACTGATTAACTTAAATTGGCGATCATTTACGGTTACGGGAGGCACCGCAAGAGGTTTGATTGTATTTGCAAGTAAAGCACATTTCATGTTATGCTAAATCTTTATTTTCGAATACAGAATACGAAACTCGTTCATCAAGAAATCAACGAAAAACCTCTCTAATGGTTAATTAAAAGCATTACAAAGCGCATAAATTCATTTTTAAATACCATGCGGCCCAAAATTTCTTGCTCCTTTTTCGGGCTATATATGATTAACGCATTATTGCAAGATCGCATTAGTTAAAAGAAGACACTCCGATGCTTAAAGAATCACTACTTCATTGTCAAGTGCATTATTGCTAAATCTCTTTATTTATACGTGATTTTGGATAAAAATGAATAAATGAAACCGCAATATATCGAAATCAAGCAGCGTTATAACGCGAAGGCACAGTTATTTCATTCTAAATAACTAACACATTTGACTCTCGCTATAACGATCTCAGGCGCCTTAAAGAAAAAGAATGTTATTACAAGTAAGCGCTATAATGAAAGTGTACATGTTTAATACACTCTCATCAGCTGGGGATGCACCTTAGAATGGAAAGATAATTATGAGTCGTCATTATGACGAGCGTCGAATACATTTATATTTTTGGACCCCCTCTGCTAAGTAGCAAAATAAATCTAAATTCAAGAATTGTGAAAATGAAAACTCTCGTACTTTTCAACACAGCAGGCAGACCGTTCGTTACGTCACCGACACGACGAAATCCGCTCGCGCTCAGCCATTGGCGAATAATGCGCGACCGGCGAGGTCTTGGCGATTTGCTTTCGGGTAGATGCGGCAACCCACAGAAAGAGTGAGGATCTCCGTCGCTGAGGAGGAGGAGAAGAGAACTGTTTTTAGGTGATGACATGTTCGCGCATTCGACCCATACTGGAATAAATCCCAAATTTCGGTCCGGGGGTGAGTGGAATTTTTTTACTTTCATTTTTCCTTCCATTTTACATTTCGAACGTACGATAAGAATTTTTCTGCACAACCTCTGAACGGGAACTCAAAAGCGCTCAAGGTTTCGTTGCGCTCATCTCACCCGGTATTGAACGTCCCCATCTACACCCGGCATATTTTGTTCAATTTTCTCCAAGTATAGCATCGCAGATGACAGTACCTTTTTAATATGTTTTCATAATGTGTGACATATTGTAAACATTCTTGGCTTACAAAACTGCTAAAAAATTTTTCCGGAAACAAACAAATACTACAATCATCAACAGTGATGGTGTTCATAAATCACTAGGAATCTCCCAAATCCAACAGTCAAACTGGTGTCCAAACTGTCCAGTTCTCGGTTAAATTATATTACAAAAATATACCTGTAATTCTAATTTTAAACAAGGAAGCTACATGCAAATGAATTGATTCATGAATTGAATGAACTCCAGGAAAGTTAACACAGAAACACACTGAATAAGATGACGTACTGGAACAAGAACTGTTGCTATAAAATATGCATTTGAATTTGTATCAGATAAGAATACGTCCGAAATAAATAATGTATTTTATTTATCACTCGAAGAAGTAACGTACGTAAATTAGTTATATCTCATCTATTGGAGTTCATGTGATCCAAAGACGCTTGTAATTGATCGATAAGCAATGAAATCGAAATGAACAACTGGATATTTAAGTTAATACTATAATAGTTGATTTTTCAGTTAGAGGGTTACTATCATTTTTGTAACAATTATCAAATTTCATGGATATATTTCCATGATAATATTTCATGGCAAATTGCAGAACATATTATAGTTTTAAGTTCGATTTTTCCTTAAATTACAGTACATTAAGAGCAGGTAATAAATATTATATTACTTAGTATGTTAAGATATAAAATTTCTTCCTTCACTAAATCAAGCATTTATAATGGATAAATACACATTTAAAATGATGTATTATGGAAGATACACATGCTGTTCCTTGTGGTATTCTTATCCAAAAACTACTGCTCGGTAGTTACTCATACTCTACGTCTTTCGTGGAACGTATATACAAAAACAATTTTAAAATAAAAACGTAAATCACATGTTTACAATATTTTCAGATTTAAAGAGCTTCCTGGTTCTGTTGTGATGTAATGGTCTTGTTATGAATTTCTCCTAATTTTCCGGGCGTTAGACCAAGTTTATAATCCATTTACATATAGTTCTCTATGTGGTGTAAATACTGCATCATAAGGATATACATAAGTGCAAATAAAAAAAAAAATTGCATGTTCGTGAATTTAACCAGCGCATTCATGTACATTTTATCTGTTCATGAATTTCAGTACATTAATTGAAAACTGTGCAGACCTCACAGGGTAAAACTGAGATTTTCATTTATTCATAAATCTATGCGAAATCCTTTAAATATGTATGGATAGGATTCTCCACGGTGCATTAATAGCTCTAGTAAAGTATCTCTGGAATATTAATCGAACAGGTTACATCGGAAGTAGCCTCAAAGCTTTTCTTATACATGCTGGCATGCTCATTGTTTGAAAAGTGTCTTTGCTTCGAGTTAATCAAAATTCCTGTTCTAAATAATATAAACTCAACTTTATCGAGTGAACCTTTTTGCGAGTTATTTACTAGCTTTAACGTTAAAGCAAATTTAACTCACTCCATAAGGACAGGTCAAGAAAAATATCAACTAACGCGTAAAAGAACAGGAAAATTAAAATTAACAACAGAACCAGATTTCTCAAATTATTACAAATTTTATTGTGAATTACCTGATATTCTGATTTCTGTTTGCTTTTCTGTATTTCCGAAATCAAAGTCAAATAATGAAATAAAAATCTGACTTTTGCATCTTTTGTGCATTTTCCTCATATAAGTAAAAATTAGTTGGGATTTTCAAACCGAATGGCTTACTGAAAGAAGTGAAAATTCATAAGAAAAGAAATAATTTTTTAAACACTTTTCGTTAAGACGCCAGAAAAACATAATGTGACGAAATGTTACTTTGTAAATAATAAATACTACATCCTAAATATAGGACTAAACGCAAGGTTAGTTGGGAATCCACTGATAGCTATGAATCGGCTGTTCAGACTTTCCATGTTTTTATAAATAAAACCAGTTTCCATAAACACTGGCATAACTCCAACTTCTGTCTTCAAGTTAAAACACAAATAATATTGTTGCTTCCTTTATTCTTCCTCTCACATAACGGTTATTCACTTTTGCGCCTTCCCTTCTAGTTGTGTGAAAGATTATTTTTAAAGATTTCCTTAAATTATTGAATTAAATACGTTTCACTACATAATTTTTAAAATTTTATCGGATAATTACCAACTTGTCAATCTCTGAATTTTTTATTTCGTACCACAAATTTCTGGATTCATATTCGATATGAATTAATATAGAGTGTCGCAATCATTCCACGAATATTGCGGATTTTAATAGTGCCTCATATTAGTTTATGCACCGGATTCGGTAAAATTTGCCATTTTCTAAATAGCCGAAACGAGTTGCTACTGCCAACTCCATACAAAGCTAGAACTTTTTGAGATCAGGACAGAAATATATTTAATAATGTATGTTCTAGAATTATTCTTTCCCTTCAGTTGAAAGAGCCCACAAGAACACTGGTTTATGAAGGATACTTTGGAATTTCAATTTTAACTACATTTCGTACTTGCAAAAGTGTGCAATCTTATTTATCACTTGCAGAATTGTTAACGGATCGTTTTAAAAAATATGGTAGAACAGGAAAACATTGAATAAAGCTTAATTTTTTGCAAGGAAATATTTTGACACTTATTTGATAACGAACTATTCGATGAAATGTGGCAATTATTAAGAATTACAGCAGCTGAAAAAATTAGCGGTAGTCTGCAGATAAAACTGAAATTACATAAAAACGCGCCGAGACTTTCCCACAGTTTCATCATGTTTCTTTCAAATCTAATTATTAACTTAATTATTTCTGTGTTTGTGAAAAAAAAAAACATTCAGCTACGTACCGTGTATTTTAGATAATATATGGGCATTACACAATATAAGAGTCAAAGTCGACGTTCTGAAGAACGATAAAGAGAAATGAAAAAGTTTTTAAAAAACACAAACAACATGTAAGTAGGTAGCTTGTTTTGCTATTTTATGTTGTGAGAGTTTGATAAAAGGATTTTTAATTTACATGAAAAATATTACGCACCAAAGTTTTTCAATAATGTATTCTTCCAGAGTGGCTCCGAAAGGTCTCGCCACCTAAAATTCATATTTTGTTGCCCTTATGATCTTGTGACTTTTATTAAATTGCATATTAACAGATGGGTTTTATATTATACTTCTCTAATCCTAAATTTTCCTATTATGTAATAAAACACCCGAATTCTTATAGTTTTAAGCTTCAAAATTCGAATCTTCAGTTAAATCGATAAATTATTTACCATTAATTTACCATGTTCTTTTAAATAGTACTCCTTCTGCCTAGATTATGTAATGCTACAAGTTTTACTTTAGTTGTTGAAGTAATCTTATTTAGTCGAAACGGAATTAGTATGAGTTTTCCAGTTTGCGCCGGACAATCGTAATTTATTGCTGTCTCAATTAAGCGTAAAGCTCATAAAATACCTATGCGATTCCAGGATTTTGTAAATATTTATTGTGAATTTTGCCTTTACCAATATATATATATAAAGATAAATATATTATTGTAGAGTAAAAGGAGATATAATTCATAAATCAAAACACTTCGCGTTCCAGGAATATATTTTTTGGAACTTGTGCAGTCCATTGGACGAACAGAATTATGACAGAAGTTTTAGATCTTTATTTAAATTGCGTTGCATACTCGAAAAAAAAAACGTTTTAAGATATTAAGTCCCAACGTTTTCTCTCAATCAAGTTAGTTATAGAAGAATATATAATAGTCTCTGCTTAATGGAAACAATTCCTGTAAGAGCTTTTCGTAGTAAATAACACGAAAGGATCTCTACAAAAACCACTGTAATATCGAAAGCTGTGATAAATGCAAAATGTAATACTCTTAAATCATGCGAGAATTTGATTTGCATAGAGTTAATAGGAAAATATAATACATATGAGATAAGTATTATATAGCATCTTTTAAAATGTTATAATAATTTAGTATTTGAATTTTTTCATTATTTTTATTAGGAAATGATCATATAATAAGAATTGTGAACTGTTTGAACGAAATGTATGATATTTTTTTAAAATTTGTTTTATCCTGGATTTTATAAAAAAAAATATGGTTAGTTCTAAACATAGCATACACCTTCTTCATAGCAAAACTTGTTAATTTTAGTACAAGAAAAGGTAGGAGACATTCTTCTTGCAGGTGCTGGATCTAAATCTAACTTATGAAACATGTTTGCTGTAACTGGAATTTTAAGCCATACAATAGATGTTATGATCAAGTAATTATAGCGATGATAAAAATTAAACCAAGTTTTTTCCCTTCCCCAGGCATTTTTAGGTTTTTTTTTTTTTTTTTTTTTTTTTTTTCTAAGACGAAAACGCACTTATTTCTTTCGGGTAGGATGTTTGGTTTATATTTCTAACTTACATAAAATAATTGGTCCGCCAGCGGCCGAGCGGTAAAGTCGCTGAACACTGGTAGTTCGGTCCGAGGTTCGAAGGCTATTAAAATAATTAATTAATCTTTAGTTAGTTGAAGTTTTTTATTTTTTAACTAATTTGTTCATATCCATTGTTAAGTGCTTCCTCACGTTTGATTGGGCCCACCAGCGGCCGAGCGGTAAAGACGCTGAACACTGGTAGTTCGGTCCGAGGTTCGAATCCCGCGAACGGGCTGGCTGCATGGGCGTTTTCGTGGTTTTCCCCATGTGTAACGTGTATGCGAGCCAGTTTCCCTTAGAAAGTTCTCTACGAAGGCATCCTTCCCCTTAGGCAGATAGCCCTCGTGTGCTTTGCCATAATTAAATACATGCA